AATAATAATAGAATGATAATAATAGAATAATAATAAAAGTAAACATGGAAATGAAAACAAGACGATTACAACGTGCAATGCGAACGCAAACTAAACGTTCTAGATTCCAATCTTTGGAAGATTTCGTTTGGAAGAAAACGTTTACGAAATGCTAGTCGTTCGCCGTACGATAATATCCGGAGTACAGTAATGTCTCTCTAATTGACGCCCAGAGTGACCACAAGAATGGACAATTTGGAAAGAGGAGATACGATTATTCGAGCCTTGCGGTTTATTTTTATACTTATAAATTGTCCACAATTATAAAAACAAGCCGCAAGGCTCGAATAATCGTATCTCCTCTTTCCAAATTGGCCATTCTAGTGAAGAATCTGAACGTTAGTAAGGGAGACATTACTGTACTCGTCATGGAGAGGTGGCAGTATTTTGTGTATTTAATGTGGATTTATAGGATTAATGTAGATCAATAGAATTTATGTCAACTGAAGTAAAATTTGCACTCTCAATTATAAGAAAATGTCACCGATCTGTACGATTGCCTCGTGTAATCTGTTATGCTTCGCAAATGTTTTACGCTGTCCTAAAAATTAGTGTAATGTCTCTCTAATTGACGCTCGGATTGTCCACAAAAATAGGCAATTTGGGAAAAAGAGATACGATTAATTTGAGTCTTCCGCCTCGTTTTTATAATTACCGATTCTCAACAGCTATAAAAACGAGGCGCAAGGCTCGAACAATCGTATTTCCTCTTCCCAAATTATTCATTTTAGTGGACGCAGTGTAGTGTAATGTCTCCCTTACTGACGCTCAGATTGTCCACTAAAATGGACAATTTGGGAAGAGGAGATACGATTGTTCGAGCCTTGCGGTTGATTTTTATACTTATAAATTGTCCATAATTATAAAAACGAGCCGCAAGGCTCGAACAATCGTATCTTCTCTTTCCAAATTGTCCATTTTAGAGGACAATCCGAGCGTCAGTAAGGGAGACATTACTGTATGTAGTTGGCACGCGCTCGCCGGTCGCCGACCGGCACTCGGACATCGAGCGAATCGTCCGATAAGTAAGATGATTTCGGTAGGAAATGCCGTGGCAGACGGTTGGTAATATATATGTATAAAAATTGAACAGCTTGGCGGGCCACCGAAGGCTGGTTCGTATCGTGACCGGTCGGGTCCTTATGGGCGTGTATACTCGAGCGAGAAACGAGGGGAGAGAAGATAGAAGTCGATAAGTGTCCTTGCGCCAGAAGGAGGATCCTCTCGCATCTTGACACGGTCACCCCCCACCGCAACGCGACTCGCACAAACTCGCTCGCGAAAGCCTGGCGAACCCCTACCCAAGAAGTCGGTCTTCTCTTCTTATCATCCCTGCGCCCGCCATTCCATCCATCTTCCTTTCTTTCCATTTTCTTCGGTGCTACGGTATACCACTACTACTACACCACCACCACCACCACCACCACTACCATCGCTACCACCCACCACTACACCTCGCTCTACTCCGCATCGTCGGGAACACCGTCGTCGGCTGGGATCCGCCGTCATGGCACACCATACCAGAATCCTCGGCCACCCCATCCGCCCCATCCATCCCATCCACCGCCCCAACCACCTCGAGCACCCCTCTGTTCCCTCTGTTCCCGCCGTTCCCGCTGTTAGCTCCCTTTCCGGGTCCCGTGCGCCGGCCCCGTCCCTCTAAAACCCGCGCCTCCACCTCGTGCTCTGTTCACTAATTGCACATTCTTCGCATAGTTTCGCCACCGTCCGCCCCTGCCAACCCCGATCTACGCCAAGGACGGACGGCGAAGGGGAATTGTAAGCCCTCGACACACGACCAGCCTCGCCATCCTCGCCACCCTCGCCACCCTCGCCACCCTTTCGCTTCGCGTCTCGCTCGCTCTTTCCTTTCCACCTTTCCACCTTTTCACCCTCCCTCCCCGCCGTTGCGCGCTCTCTCTCGCTCTCTCTCGAGCTGTTCCTCTCCCTCTTTCTTTTTCTCTTTCTCATCCTCTCTCTCTCTCTCTCCCTGTCTCTCTCGCTTCCTCTCTCCGAGCTGTCTTCTTGTTCCAGCGGCCTCGTATGCTCGTACCATCTACCATGCCGTATCACCGTATCCTTCTCCCTCATTTTACTTTCCGCTTGCTTTCGTACTCCTTGCCCTCTCTATTCTTGACCCCACCCACCGGCATCGCCACCCTCTCGTTCCAAGCATCCACCGTGCTTTTGTGCCGTTAACTCAGTGAGTCCACGCTTCCCAGAAATCAAGCGTGTGTTCGTTGGCGAGTCTCTGTGTGTTTCGTGTCGCTCGTCGGCTCGTCGCTCGTCGCGCACTCGGCCGTGCCAAGGAGAACTGTGAACGACGAAGCTGCGTAACAGCGAAGAACGGAAGGACGAGCATCCGCGAGAAAGACGCGGGTTGAACGTGCTTCTTACGACAACTCTATTTTTTCGAGCGATTTCGGTGGCGCGCGTCGATAAGACGGCCTCCTAAAAGTAGCGAGATCTCTGCGAGACGAATGGTCGAAGACCAGGGGCGACCAAAGCGTCGACCGCGTAATTATTCTTAATTATTATTAATTATTCCTAGTCGCCCGCCTGTCCGATATTATCTATGTTTGTTTGAAATTTAAACTTATTTTTGGCTTTAAATTAGTATTTTTCTCATGATCATTTGACACATACGATGTTGGCAGATATTATTTTAAAATAATATCTGCCAGCATTTTGTCAAAATAATATCTGCCAACCGGCTATTATTTAAAAAAACAGGTCGCCCTCAGGTCATTCCTGCTCTAGACTCTAGACTCTAGAATCTAGAATCTAGAACCATATGGATTATGGATACCATATGGATGCCACGCTGCGATTTTGCATCATTTCGAGAAATCGAATTTTCCCAACGTTGCTTGTCCCAAAGTTCCCAACTACGGATTCGCCTAAGCTTCGCATCAACTATTTAATGCTGGATTCACGCAACGCTAAATAATATTTAAGTAACATTTGACCCAAGTGGCCGGTCGTTTCGACGGGTTCCGTAAACCGAAGCGTCGAATGGATCCCGAATCGCGAACGAAATGTCTTCAAACAGAACACGACAAGTTTCTTACAAGTAGTCCTTGTAAGAAAAGACTTTATTTGAATAATTTCTAATATGTCAGAAATTATGGCTCGCACGAATGCCAGATGTATTCGGTACTTGTCCATACCAGTCATCGGGTGAATGCCGGTATACAGGGTGTCCCAAAATTATGGTATTTCCGGGAAACGAGGGGTTCCTGGGGTCATTTGTAGCAACTTTTTCCTCAGCGAAAATGTTCTACGATGTTTCGTTCACGAGTTATTAACGAAAAACACTGACCAATCAAAGACGAGCTCGGTTGGCGCAAGGCAGCCGAGCCAATCAGCTTATCCGGGCTTCGTGCGCTCGTTGGCTCGGCCGCCTCGCGCCACTCGAGCTCGCCTCTCATTGGTCACTGTTTTTCGTCGATAACTCGTGAACGAAGCCTCGTAGAATATTTTCGCTAAGGAAAAAGTTGCTTCGAATGATCTCCGGAATCCCTCATTTCCCGGAAATACCATAATTTTGAAACATTCTGTATATTCGGCGATCGGCCACACAGGCGACCAGAGGGATGCCGGATATATCCGGCGCTCGTACCGAAAAGGTTGTCGAATAAACGAATGCCGCGGTGAACGCGATAATTTCGTCGAGTGCACTGTCGACGAACTAATTGTTAAGAGATTCGTACCGCGTCGACGGGTACTTTTAGCGTTAAGTTAAGGAGAGAAGAAAGACTACTTCATTTTTCACGATTCTCACGTCTCTCATAAATCCATGAAATTTTTCGGGTCCACGCGTCTTGGCAAAGAAGAAGAGGTAGCTCTAATCGTCGCGTTCTCGATCCTCCCGCGTACTCTTCTCCCCCCGACGATGATCGCGGCTTCCGCGTACAACAATCGATCACGATCCAACGCAGCGAAGCTTCTCGAGATGTCCGGACAGGTTACCAAAGCTTAGATAGTGCTCTTAATTCTTTTTTTTCTACGCTCTAATTACGATCTCAAGGGCTTCGCTCGTCCGGCAACGATTACGCTCGATCCCGGCGATCGATCGTTCGGGGATCTGCGAGACGATCGACTCGTTCCAAAAAACCGCCGCCGAGTGCTGGATCCTACGGCGTACATGTACGCAGTGGCGAGATCGTGAACAGGAGATTGCCTAGCCGCGTTGTACACGGTGTTCCAAAATGATTGTCGAAGCGTGAAACGAGGGGTTCCCGAGGTCGTTCGAAGCAACTTTTTCCTTAGCGAAAATATTCTACGAGGCTTCGTTTACGAGTTATTAGCGGAAAACGGTGACCAATGAGAGGCGAGATCGGCTGACGCGAGGCGGCCGATCCAATCGGCGGAACTGGGTTTCGCGCGCTCGTTAGCTCGGCTGCCTCGCGCCCCACAGCCAAGCTCGCCTCTCATTGGCCAGCGTTTTTCGTCGATAACTCGTAAACGAAGCCTCGTAGAACATTTCCGCAAAGGAAAAAGTTACTTCAAACGATCTCAGGAACCTGTTACCGTTAATCGGCGGAACTGGGTTTCGCGCGCTCGTTGGCTCGGCCGCCTCGCGCCCCACAGCCAAGCTCGCCTCTCATTGGCCAGCGTTTTTCGTCGATAACTCGTAAACGAAGCCTCGTAGAACATTTCTGCTAAGGAAAAAGTTGCTTCGAACGACCTCGGGGAACCCCTCGTTTCTCGCTCGTACGATAATTTTGAGTCACCCTGTATTCAATCATGCTGGCACGAGTCGCGTTAGCCTTCGTTCGTTCCGGTGTACCGTTAGAACTGTTGGAACAGCTACTTGTTCCATGGGAACCCATAAATATCTCTCTACATAACTCGTTTCTAGCAGAGGCAATTGCAACGTTGCAGGAATTGCGGGATTCGAGATACGTCGTTTTATTAACAAAAAGAAAAAGAATCGTACGCTTGTGAAACGAGGAAGCTAACGTTGATCTTGCAGCGATTTATTTAACGTCGATTGCTCGGGAATAGAAAAATCGATCGTCGCGTCGATTTCACCAATTTCAATGATCAGTTTCACAAATTGCGAAGAACTTGTAAGCGGTTGTTGTGTTACTCTCCCTCGATCTTTCTAGGATTAATATTAAATCGATCTACTTTCCTTTTCGCACGAAATAGCGTTTATTACTCCCACGTATTGGTTTACGTTATTGTGACACCACAAATTCTGAGCAGGCATCGTTACAAGCATTGTGTATACGTCCTGAAGTTTTCTGGTGAAAATCGGGACCGTCTTCTGTACAACGATTTCCCATCATTATATCCTCGCCACTGCGTATATGTAATATTAAAGACGGAAAACATTGTCGTTACTTCGTTGTCGCGCATTTCTTCGTTCATGTTTGCCGCTTGTCCCAGGGAACTCTTCGTAATCGCGCATCTACTTGTAATCATCCTGTTTTCTATTGATAGCGACGATGGTGATGATGACGATGATGATGATGATGATGGTGATGATGATGATGATGATTATGGTGATGATGATGATGATGATGATGAAGATGAAGAAAGTAGCAAATAAACGTTTTTCCATTCAAGGACTGGTCTTCTTTATTTATTTCACCACACGACATTGTCGAACATCCTTGTCAAAATTGTACTTTCTGTTTTTTTTTCTTTTTTTTTCTTTTTTTTTTTGTTTTCTCACTTGGCTTGAATGGAAAAACCGAAAGTCGTGCGCCGCGGTCTTCGAATTCAATTCTCGTCGCGGATCGTCTTCTTGCCGAGTCCCGCGAGAAGAAGGGGCTTCCCCCGAAAGGCGTTCGATTCGACCCGGACGGGTAATCCTCTTCCGTTTTCCAACAGATCGGTGAACTTCCACTTTTTCTTCGATACGTTTTCTTTTCTTTTTTTTCTCTCGATTCTGTCGCATCATCCGTCTCCACGAAGCCGCATCTTCTCGACTCGATTCGTTCATCGAACGCCTTTTCCTTTTCTCTCTCGCACCGTTGCCACGATCTCGCCGGAGAGTAGTAGTTTATCTTTTTTTCCATTTCAAGTGCCAAGCGTGAAAGATCGTCCGTCGATCATCCTCTTTGCTCGTCCGTCGCGGGCTCCTCGAAACTCCACGGATTCGTGGCGACGTTTCTGCAAAAGTTTCCACGAAAAAATTATTCGAAAACGAAGAGCTTCGTTGCGTAACGAGAGATAACCCTTTCGCAGGGCGAGATATTCTCGAGGAGACCGCGTTGCCGCTCGAATCTCGGAAATCCGTGCGCGAACGCGCGTTAATTACCGGCTCAAGACTCGAAGGGACCATCGCGATTTAGGCGAACACGACGATCGTCGGATCGGTTAGCCAGATTACAATTTAACCCTTTGCTCTACGTTTTAACCCTTTGTACTCGAGTGGTGCCTCTGACGCACCGCTAAAATTGTTACACCACGTTTCAAGATAAGTTTTACACGATCGAAGCTTAAATATAAAAACTTGTTAAAAGCCTAACCGTTGTACGAGTCACAAGACTCGATTTCATATTCATAAAATGGGCTTTGTCGTATAAAATGGAAATACTATAAGCCAGAAAAGTTAATTTAGATTTACAGTTAACCCATTAAGCACTACGAACCCATACACGCGTTCTCGCGCAACCATTCGATTTTGGCTACGAACCCATATATATGCGTTTTCGCATAACCGTTCGATTTTGGTTCGGAAACCAAAGCGTGTAGCAGACTACGATGCCTCGATGGGCGCGGTTGATGAAATCGATACGATTTTGAGTTCGATTCGCCGCGTTCGAAAAAGCACAAAATGGTATAACAAATATTTCTTCCACCTCTTAGACCTCGCTATATACAATGCGTATATTCTTTATAAAAATGCTAACAATAAAACTGACACGTTTGAAAAATTTCATCCGCTTCTCGTGAAAGATATTTTGCGGGAATACCCACCGCATAGAGTAGAGGCTAAAAAGGAGGAAGAGTTTGTTCGATCGACTTTCCGTTTCGGTCAACGGAGAGGCATTTCCCTGCATCCCGCGTAACTAAAGAAAATAAAGAAACATTCTTCGCGATGCGGATGCGCTGTTTGCGCTAAAAATAATCGCGGAACCGACTCGCGTTTCGAAGGCAAAAATTGTAACATTGGCTTACGTATCGAACCCTACTTCGAGATTTACCACGCGATACAAAATTATGAAATTTTCAATTTAAAAGATATAATTTACCACTGTTGCATCGTTCGTGTTATCGTTGCTCGATGAAATAAACGGTTATCGAGGCTTTCGAGGTCACCGCATAATTTATTTCGGTTACAATCGATATATCTTGCGATGAAAATTCAGTCTGCTCAACTTGCGCTCTTTCGTAAAAAGT